GTCGTTACAGGTAAATATCGGCGCACATGGCCTATCATGAACTTCCAATCACAAGCTTACTATCTCTGAAGTAGTTTACCCCACTGTGACCTGTAGCTCAGGAAAGTTCCTGTGATACTCCACACCTCCTATATATACAGGTGGCTGTGTAGCTTATCAACACTCCGAACAGTTAACGTCTTAAATACCAGGGACTTGTAAATCTTAGTTCAAGTTGTGTACAAAATATAGTACATTAAGAGCTAATTGAGAGTTTGAGAAGTGTATTTTCATTAAATTTTGATTCTGTGGTTTTATTTAAGTTTCCTTGCATTGGAAAACTTTAAAAAGAATTTTACAGAAATTTCACTGAGTGATTTGTAAGCCAACTTACAAAATTTGGTACCATATTTTGAATTTTATATGTGACGTGTGATGATGGAAGTGGAATCTAGCCATGTTCGTCTGCAAATGTGTCATAGTCACAGTGTACCTCTGTACTCTACAAACTGTAGCGAGCCCCCAACCCCGACCATTGACACCTGTCTGTGTGGAATAGGGGCCCTACAGCCTAGACACTCTCGCTCACTGCCTGCGTCTCCCTCGGACAGTCTTTTATTGGAACAATTCAGGGATAGCAAGGGACTGTTCTCAAAGTTTAGAAGACGTTTGTCGGAGAAGAGAAGAATATTTTTTGGAAAAAGAAGGAAAAGTTCGCAGGACTCAGCGTATCACTTGGATGTTTTATTTGATGATGATGATGTTGGGAGGCGACTTAGCAATTCCTCACGAGACAGTATGCTGGAGGAGTTCCAGGTGGGCAACACCTTCTAATTAGTCAATATTCTATATGTCAGCGTCTGTTCTGCTTATTTTGGGAATTATTTTGGGGAGCATTTTTTTTCAGCAAGTACGATTGATGCTTAACTTATAAGAAAAGTGTCTCTTTAGCGACTAACTTTAATGCATCGAGGAGAAATGGGATGTTTTCATATAAAAAATAATAATACATGTAATCCCTTTAGGGTTGCAGTCAAATGTCAGGTTGTCTCCATCTATGCCAAAGTTTTGTTTTTAAAACTTTGATGTGTATAGAGTATCATAACACCGTGATATTGTATAGAACGTTTAGGTCTGTATCACAAACAAAGGGTAAACAGCCATACTCCATACTTAGCAAACCTGCTCAATGGAATGAAGGTTTTATTCTGTGTAGAGTAGTTTTTGTTGACTTGCTAGAATTATAAATTTTACATCAGTTATCACCTGGCGTGTACTGTTTTCTCTGGGCACTCTTGTTCTGGTTTTATTAAAAAGTCTGAATAAATATCAGTAATAAGAATGGCCTGGAGTATTTCTTAGATTTAAGTCTACCTGATATCCTGATATAATAGTTAGTGTGTACATCTGCTTTGATTCAAGGCTTAAAATGTTTACATTGTTTTTATTCTGGTCTCCACTTGGAACAAGAATGAATGTGCTATTTTACAGGGGATGTACATGTATTAGTTTTCAGTTTCTAGGAAAAAAATTGTCCTGTACATAATCAAGAAATTATCAAAGATATCGTAATGAAAGTTGATTTATGCATTGCATCAGCCACAGAGGGTGTGCAAAGTGTTGTCATCAAGGTCGCAGTTGCCTTTAAAAATGAGGTCAAAGGTCGAATATGTGCATGTGTAATTCTTAGTAATTTTTAAAGTGTTAATGATAAAATTCATGAAATTTGAAATGCACCAGCAACATAAGTGGTTATACATACTGACATTGATATGTTTTACAAATATTTCTATTTTTGTTCTTCTCCCATCAGTCAATGATCTGTACATTCAGGGATCATTCTATATATATCTGTATGTTAAGTGACCTCTGTCTGTAGTCATGAGTGACAGCTTGGAGTTAAAAATCACGTCTATAAAATAATGTGTTTTAAATCCTGCTTATCACTGAGCTAGTATGTGACATTATTGATTGTAAAATCTTGGATATCCTGGTATGTTTGATCAAGATATCAATACAAATTACTCAAGTTGGTCAAACAACAGTTTTATCAATTCCTAACAATATTATATGTTTTACATAACTTCCCAGACCCATTGTATTGCAGATTTACGAGAATTGTGGCATTCCCGTGAAAAGATTTTATGGTAATCATCGATTAGGAAAGAATTAAGTTCTCTTTTTTATATAGGTCGAAACTTGACGGTTGACAGGTTATGATTTATGGTTACACTTGACAGGACGTTTACCTGAATCAGAAGTCTTAAACTACCTCAGTTTCTGATGATGCAGCTAGAGAAGTGGTATGGCCACTTGACTTGTAGGATAAAGAGCTTTCCCTATTGACATAGGTAGCCATGGCTGGCTCTACCTCGGTTCTGGTATCATGGTAGAGTATCTAGTCGTCCAGCTAGCGCAGTATCCCAGGGATTTAAGGAGGATTATGGCCGTCAATTGTTTTGCTTTCTAATTTATAAGCATGACACTTCAAAGTGGAAGCCTTCTTTCAGACATGGATGATTTATGGATTCTGGAACTTTTAATGTTTGACGGCTTTTTTGAATAAATTGAAATATATATATTTGCAACACAATATTCTTCATTTCAACATTAAATTATTTCTTCTGTTTTTTACATTGAGTAGCAAAATTCATAGAATTTCTGGAATTGTTTTTTACTGATGATGGCAGTCTAAGACTGAATATATGACTTGACTTTTCACGCTAGATGAACTTCTGGTTTTCTGTAGACCTTAGAGTTTATTGAACTACCTGTTGGCATTACCTAAACCTGACTGTGCAGGGTGTCTAACTACCTGTCGGCATTACCTAAACCTGAATGTGCAGGGTGTCTAACTGAATGTTGAGCTCATTGTATTCAGTTGGTAAATGTGTATTTTTTAATGTATTGGTAAATAACCAGGGTGAAGGTGATTTAATGGTAGAAATCTAGTAAAATGATCTCTGTGCAAAAAAATGAATGTTTGTACATGGGGGGAGATCATGCATAGCTCATGAGCAGTATACAAGAAACAGATTAGAAATGTACCAGGTATGCAAATTTGTTTGCACATGATCTGCAAGCTAGTTTATGTTAGCAAAGAAATTGGGTTGCCCACCAGTACATCATATGCATTCCAATTAAGTAAAGCGCTAACACTACCAGTCAGCATTGATTTCCTCACGTGAAAAGAAAATTAACTCATTTATATTAGTATGAATTCTTCCCAATATTGTAAATTAGGCCTGATAGAAGTCATTAATGCCGGTCTGTATCAGGCTGTTGTTTGTGGAACACTTGTATACCTGAGTATCGGCCCATAGAACGGTTTACGTGTGTCTTGACACCTATAGGTAGCCATCCATATGGTACGGATGCTGGTTCCTTTGTTACCATGGTAGGGATTGACATTTCCATCCCAGTTACCATTGGAAAGCTGAAGCTACATATTCATACCTGTGACAAAATTTATGATTTTACGGTAGAGTTTTAAAATATTATGCCTGGTGTTTAGTGATCTAATGTCTTTTACAGCCTGTCAGCTCCTGAAAGCGCTCCCATTTCAGTTAGGATGGGCTGACTTGTGTTAGTATTTATACGTGCAACGCTGCAGTGACAACAGCGACAATGATGACGTTTTACTTTTAAGTGGGGATTTTTGTTGACCACCAAATATATCTTTGAATGTTTTAAATGGATTATAAGCAATGTTTTGGTGATAATGATTTAGGTGTAAGAGCACATACATGAGAACGTTTGTTACCGACAACAACAACTTCCGACAAGATTCTGCTATCACTGACATAAAGAGGAGTAGTGTTATATTAGCGGACAAACTTAACCACGCCATCGTGTGTGCGGGTATTAGGGTGTATATTTGTTTGGATGTCATTATCTAGGGTGGTGTTCCGTCATTCACCTACGTGTTGTTCAGCAGACATCAGACAAGTGTTCTGTATATAAAGCTGTGCGATTCTCTCATACTCACAGCAGAGCTCAGCCTGGAACATCAGCAGTCGTTTTAATTTTGAGTTAAAAGGTTATAAATCTTAGAGGAATTTGCAGCTTTTAAATCAGAGAGCTCTTTTGGTGGACATCTGTGTGACTGTCTTATATACTCAAAATTTTTCTAAAGGTGGAAAATTTATATTGTGATCGATACTTTCATTGATATGAAAGGGAAGCTAAAGAAACAGAAATGTGTCTCAACATTACATAAAGGAGTGGACTCGCTACCTAAACCTCGACTAATGGTAAGGACAACTGGACAGCGTCCACTCATTTGTCAGTGCTAGCCGATACATATAATGGATTAGTGTTATAAGGAATATTTCACTGGAGAAACCAGTCGAGTAGGCCCTGATATATATGGTAAGATTGTTTGTAGAAGCTCAGATCTGGTGGTAAATTGTTTTATTATGGGTAGATGTAATCAATTTTGTGTGTTGGCAGCTTAGATACTGGGGTATGTGTGTTGACCTCATCTCAAGGCCAAGGAGGACTCATTTATAATGTCTAGTGACAGGTCTCTGCCACTGTGCGGTTTGTGTACATTTGAACTTCAACATTTTGTTTGTGAAGAGACTGAAGCTTCTTCATTTTTAAAGAATAAAACCTGCAGGTTATAAAACATTAAAGCACCTGCCCCTGTGATGATATATAACAGGAGACTAAGTCTCACCCAAGATACATAGGCCCTATCACTTCATAAGGAAGGAAAGAGACATTATTGTATAGTGTACTGTGTTCATATTCCTTGTTATGATGTTTTGACCTTTGCCACATCATAATTAATTCCACAATGTATATTTCATTGAAATAGCTTTTTGTTCCCTTCAAAGTAAAATTGTTAGAGCTCCAAGAACAATGATTTATATATATATATACACTTGGCGCTCTTACGACAACTAATGACAGACAGTATCTTATGATAGAATGTCCTTAGGAAAATTACTGCCTTTCCTCTCTGTCCATAAACACAACTACTGTTAATTAAAGTCTTACATTTTCTGTTGTTTTAGAATGAGAATATCTATCGTGGGTTGTTGAGGAGCCTGCTCCACCCCTTGGGAGCCCCAGATAAAACAGTGGGATTGCGCCCAGGAGATCTTGTTGACCATCTGAGAGAGGTAATCTGATTTGACAATATTACTTAATAGTCAGCACAGCTTTTGAAGCAATATTTCAACGCTTCTTTTCAAGTTTTAAGAAATCTTTAATGTGCGTAGGCCTGTTATATTGAGAATGATTTTGATGAATAAACATGAGTTCCAAATGCCATGGTTAATTGATTCCAATGAAGAAAGTTTATCACTTGAAGTTATACACATGCAGGTGTTTAAGTAGAATATGTTGCAATATAATGGGCCTGCACAATTTGGGTTGCCCACCAGTACAACATATGCATTCCAATTAAGTAAAGCGCTAACACTACCAGTCAGCAGCCTTCAGGTGCATGCTGAGTCCATATAGAACACATCTTGTGTGGCTTCTCTTTAATCGCTGTACGTCACTTCCTCTATTTGCATACTAAGACAATTTATGTTGGGTACATTTTTTCTGGATTTCCATCAATAATACACAAAATACATATTATTTTTCATAAAAGTTTACAAGGTTGATCGGTGGGAGTAGAAATCTGTTGATGAATGAAATTTCTTTCAGCGAAATGTAACATATGAAATGTTGCTAAAAGGATTGGATAGTAGATATATTGTTAAGGTTGTATGCTGCCTTACATGTTATAGTTATAACTATGATTTGTGTTAGAGTTATCCCCCTTGGTGTTTAAGTACAACAAATTGCGAAAAAACAATGCTATTTGGTTAATATGATGGGCTTGTACAATTTGGTTTACCTTACTTTGTTTCCGTAGTTTTGAAGAAAGGCATTAGTATCTTACACACACTCTTCTAATTTTCAATGTAATTATGTGGAAATGACTTGCTCATTTTCCAGATCTAGGAGTTGGTATCAGAACAAATTCAATGTAGGCATATAAACCTAATAGCTAGAACAAAACTGACCACTAAACCAAAGCTACTGATAAAACAAGAGATTGATTCATGGGTGGTGTGGTAATTTGTGCTGGTTGTGTAATCCTTCGGTGACCTTCTGTTGACCATAGACTTAGTAGTGGACGTCAAAGATAGGCAGGTGTGCTGGACGTACCTGGTCACCCCCAACAAGTCACCATTCATTCCTGTGTTATGTTTGTACCACATAGACTGGGTATTTCAGGGATCACAAAACTATACTATAGTGCACTGAAGGAGAGATATAATATTTGGGACCAGCTGAGTAATTTAGCTTTCTGTTAAATGTAAACTGACTAAAATTAAAATGCTAAAACTGCACTCCTTTCCAAAATCTCGCGTGCCAATTGAAGCTTTGGTTATTTAAATACATTTTTGTTATGACATAGAGCAGTATTGCTAAGTTTGTAGTTCGCCACTACTTTTGTTGTGTTTTATGACTGAAATACACAAAGAAAGCCTGTTATACTTTTCCAGGTGTTTGAAGTTGACCGAGATGAACATGAATTCTTTATCAAAGATGAGCTCTCCAACAAGGTACAGTGGATATATCACCTGACGTAATAACAATACTGTTATGTATATCACGTTTGTTTGTTATGGCTGCCAAACAACCTTCACTTGAATATAACATTATTTTACTGACCCAGCTTGCTTTGATTTCACACATTGATATTTTCATCAAAAAGTGTTTATTGTTACTTTTCCTCGTACATTAAAATCAGTGTTATTACTGTGCTATGAAAAGAATACTACCATGAAAAATATTTTGTATAAAATACCCTAATTTAGATTTGGAAAACGTGTTAAAAGATATACATTTTGTATAAAATAAAATCTATAACTTCAGCCGAAGTGTCTACAAGCTAACATCACTGTTTTGGAAGGAGATGGGTTGAAGCAACTGGATGGCTCTAAAGGTGAGTAGAATAAAATAGGTATACCAGTAATCAGCTGCTATAAAATCCTAGAATGTTCCAGTATTCCAATATTTAATATACATAAATGCATTGATATAACACCTCCTTGTGATGTGTGATTGATGCCGATGGAACTATAGGAAGAACAGGCTGGCAAGCATGTTGGTATTAATTGTCAAAGTTAATAAGGTCACTTTATCCACTTTGATCAATATTCATAAATAAAAAAATGAAATGTTCACATTCAAGTCATCTGTTTGTACAGAACACATAATTTAATTTGTCTAGGAATAACCTTTAATTTGACCTTGACCTCGTGACCTTGTTACAGAGCTTGGTGACCCCTACTGTATGGTCAGTATAATCCACCCAATGCAGCGTAACCTCAAGGTTTCCCCCATGTCCTCCCCGCGGAACTCGCCTAAATTGTCACCTAAGGCGAGGAAAACATCCAGCACTCTGTCCACTGAGCAGCAGGACGATGTGCTCCGTACAGTTGCAGTCAAGCAGTCGACCTCTCCTCACTGGAATGAAGAGTTCCAGTTGTAAGTTGACCTTCACCAACATCACTATCTGCTTTGTAGTTAGTTTTGTTTCAGGGAAAGTGCAATCATTAGAATTTTTTGAATGAAATTAATGAACAGATGTTTTGTAAACTTTATACGATAAAACAGGAAATTTGTATCCCTTTTTCACTAAGTTAAGTAAATTGTTAACCTTGGAAACAGTTTAAATGCAGAAATAATATATGTAGAAGGTCACCAGACAAAATGTAGCTGGATAAAATGTCACTATTTATAGTAGGTTGTAAATTTTGTATACTTGCTACATTTTGTGTTGCTGAAACCATGATTTTTATAGGAAAATTAATACATGTGACATTGTCTAACTGAATTGATATAATGTGTTTGACTAATTAACAGGTCAATAGATGAGCTGCTTATGGACGAGATCCACGTGTATATCTGTGACCAGGAGGAGGAGTCACATAGTAACGGAGAGGGGAAACACTCAGCCGACAGTAAACACACAACTGTCGACAAACACCACGGCATCAAACAGTACGTAAACTTCTACTGTAGTAAACCATTATTTGTTACACTGTTAAACACAAATCATTTACTCAATTGCATAAATTGTTTGCTGGAGTTGATCCGAGCATTCGGAGGAGCTAAAAGATTGTTAATCTGTTTGACAAGACAGATTACAAGTTAGATTAAAGTTTTTATTTAACACAACCAAGTGATTATATAAATCAATCAATAGAAAGTGGTATGGGGTCACCACTTAAAACAAGTAACGTTTTTATCAATAGACTATCATTGATCACTTAATTATCAATGGATTTCCTTTGGAAATGAAAGTAATCATTCTTTTTTTTAATTTTATTTTTATTCAATTTTTCTTTTTTATAAACAACACATTTACACACCAAGCAACAAGCATACATTACATTGATTACAATTCCCTTCACAACGGACACCTCTTTACAAGAGACTAATTATATACTGTACACACATACACATACACACACAGGGAGGGGGGGGG